GCTAAGAAAAGGGTTACTGGCACCACCAACAAAAAGAAAGGGAGAAGAGTTATGCATGCCCACCACATGGGGCAGCGATGCAATTTCAGTTTGGAACTTTCAGTCCGGCCCATTTAGCTTTTTTAGATCAACATTTTTTAAGCCCAAACTAATACTAAACCACTTCAGATTTCAGAAGTCTCCATATATAAGCCCATGAACATTAAAGGTCCAAGGAACAACTGGATTTGGGTATTAATGTAAGGAAATCATCGTATAATGTAGTTGGTCCAATCATGCAATGAGTTGTTGGCCCAAAAGATTGTACATGAAATGGCATGGTATGGGTCGCAATCATGGGGGGATGAATGTGTCAGTGTTCAGTGATGTGATGGAGAGAGAGAGACATTTAGGTCCATACCAGATTTGAGAGAAGGCTTCTATGCGGGCCCCGCCGTGATGTTAACGTCATCTATGGTGGGACCCTTTTAGTTGCACCCCAAGATCAGGACACGTGTATCTTCCCCGCGTTTATGTTTCTGGATGTTTGAGTGATGCAAACCTTATGTTCGGATGACGTGAAGGGGTTAATTTTTTAAATAATTATTTTATTATTTAAATTGTTTTAAATGATAAAATAATAATTTTTTTAAAAAATTAATATTAAATTTCTTTTTATTTAAACATTTTTATTTTATGATTTAAAACAATTAAAACTGTAAAATGGTAAATTTTTTTTTAGCCATTCTTTTTATTAAAAGAAAATATATTTTAGTACATATTTTGTATATAGAGTAAAGGAAAAAAAAAATGCAAGACAAAAAATAAATTATTTAATGGCCTATATAGTTTATTTTTCTAAAATTGTTAAATTGCATAACGCAAATCATCCCTCCCTGTCCTGCAAGGCTGATGGATCGGAAAAAGAAGGAAGACCCGAAGAGGTAAAACAGAAATTGTAATGATTAATTGTTTTTAACTTATAAATCTTGTCATGTAGTTTTATTTTTATCGAAAAAAAATTAATTATGTATTTATATTACCATAATAAATATTATATAAAAATATATGTACAATCAAACTCAAACAACTAGAAAAACAGAAGTATACAAATTAAAAATAATAATAAAACGTAACGAATAACTCAAGTTATTTAATAATATTTTTTAAAAATTTTAAATTTAAGGAATACCATATTGGAATGGAAAAATTATTAAAAATAATTAATTTTTAGTTTATAATTTAAAATTAAAATAATAATAATGATAATAATAATAATAAATAAAGCATAAAAGTCAATCTTTGCTTTGTTATTGGCCGTGTCCCACTGGACAGGTTAAAAATAAAATATTAAAGGCCCAAAATGATTTTGCGGCCCCCTGACCGACGGCTTCTTTCCCCTTTTTCCCACATTCGGGAAGTCAGAGCCTAGAATAACCACTGATAACCAAGCATTAGTTTTTGAGTTTATGTATTCTTTTGGCGGAGACAACTGCACTTGAATTAATAACTTAATTAGGAAGTGCATTTTTGAACCCCATGACCTTGAGTTAAATGCGCTCTTTAGAGATATTATTTTGTGCCCCAATGGAGTTGCTCAATTAGTTAAAGAGACTAAATTTTAATATAAACATTTCATATTTAAATTTTAAGTCAGATAAAGAATGTTAAATGAGAAACATATAAATTATTATTATATATTTTAATTTGAACTTTAAATGAGAGAAGGCATTAAACAACTTTAACGTTAAATTTGAATTTTGAGTAATGTAGAGTAGCTTAACCCTTTAATTTAAATATCTCAAATTTAAATTTTAACATTGTGATTAGAGCTTGAGGCAAACTTGGCACACATTGTACGTCTTAACATACCAATGCTCCAAAAGGCAAGTCCAAATCCAGAACTAATATAGACCTATTAGCTTTAATGAAATCTTAATTGAAGAACTTTAAGATTGGATCTATTAATAAATAAATATTATCTTATAAGTCAAGTTTAAGATTTAAATATTGCTTTAATGAAATTAACATTTTTAAATGCAACAGGTAATATGGGAAGTACACCTTTACAATTGTCCAAGGAAAGAATATTCTTGAGGTTTGAGAAAAATACTTAGAAACATCTTGACGATAAAAAAAGAAAAAAATCTTAATCAAAGACCGCTAATTCCCCTTGGTCATCTTTCGTGGTCTCCACTTTCTCCAACGACTCGTGATCCAAATTTCCATCTGGAAAAATTAAAGCAAAACAGAAAAAGACTGTTAAAGCACCATAATGATTCAATTCCTAACAAGCAATCTCATTTGGTTTGATTACTTTGCTAAGATTGGACCACTTTAAAAGTGGTACCAGAAACACAATGAACAAACCCTACAAATCATTTGGTACAAAACATTTTCATCATAAGTAAAAGGAAGGAAAATGCAACGAAATGGGAGGAGTGAACTACCTCAATTGGTATTAAAGAAGACAATTGGTTGAGGAATATGATATTGTTCCACAAATAAATAAAGTTTGTCTTTTGCCTTATATTGGGTACTTGAATATATGCTTCTTTTTGTGCACCTTTCTGAGTTCATGTATCATATTTATTTGTAGGCCACTTTTAAGAACCGTGTGGTTTTATGGATGGAAAGTTGTTTTGAAAAGGAAAATGGTGTCTTCAGTGTGTACCAAAAAAATATAATAATAATATAGTTTGGATTATGAAAATATTATAACACCCTCGTTGAATCTTATTCAGTAAGAGAATTTAAATATTTTTACAATTCAGACTATGTGAGAAAAACATTTGTGTTTGAAAAGTTAGAGAAGTTATCTAAAAAGGAGTAGAGGATTTTTATGATGACCTATGAGAAAAATTACTTTTGAAACTAATTAAATATCATTAATAATTAATACAAAAAGAGAATTTATTAAAGACACTTAAATAATTTTATAAATATTTCTATACTTTTTTATGCAAATTAATCTGAAAGATACTTTTTTGATTTGAAAATGTTTATATTTATATATGGTTTACATTTTGGTCGGCAGGAAAGTAGTTCAAAGTGATGTTTATTCAAATTTTGATAACTCTTTTTTATTTAGTAAAATATATGAATTTATATGTATTTACTTATTTAACATGTATTATAATATTTACTTAAATTTTCTGGTTTGATGATTATATACTTTTTTAGAAGATATATCCTTAAGTTTTAAGATTGGAATTTGAATTCCCCTTCTTAAATTATAATTTGTTAAATACAAAATATATATCACAATATCAAAAATATTGTAAAAACGACATTATAGTTGAATCATTGCATTGTTTTTGTTTTTTTATTGTGAGGTTGGGGAGTCCAATTACCAAACACCGTCTTGAAGGAGATCACATGCCTTCTGCTTGCCTACAGCAGGCATTTGACATAATAAGGTTGGTGTGGGCCGCGTGGAGCAGCCATCATTACAAGGCTTATGCCATTCCAGTGGGCATGGGCCACCGTGTCACACAGCTCACACCACAGCAGAATGGACCTAAAAAAATCCCCCAGAATCCCATAGCTAATCATTTGGATTTTATTTGATAAGATGGGGTTAAAAAGAGTATCCCCTTTATATATGTGTCCCAAAATCCTATGGTTTTGTTCATCATTGATTTTAGATATGTGTCTCTTGTTG